AGGCTCACATCCTGGATTTTGCAGGCACATGCAACAACACAGTGTTTCATGGACCATTTCAGTCTTTACCCTTCTGGTAGTTAATGTTGTCAAAACCAAAGTAATTATTGGGGCAGGGGAGGGAGGTGTGTTGAACTCTTGCCTTACCAGATAATGCAGAGACTGAGTCCTGGACTAGTACATCTAAATGTAGGAAACTTAAAATACTTAAATACAGTGTTTTGTAAAAATAGATCAAGGTCTGAGTGATTAATCTTTCAACCACATGTTCACACGGTACAAGCCAAGAGGAGTAACTGCTTATGTTATGAGCTAGCTGAGGCAATTTGAAAGCCTTGGAGGAAGAAAGGGTGAAGAGTTGGAAAGTTTCAAAAATTTGGCTACAGGATGTGCATATTAAATGTAGAAGTTTCAGATCCTGTCCATTTACCCAAGGACAAACTAAATTCTGACTAAGTGTGGGATGGGCCATTGAGAATCTTACAAAGACTCATTCTGTCCTTTGGAAGAGATGCAAGTAATGGAGTGAGACTATGGGTACAAGCTGACCCAACCGGTGTGAGTACAGCCCTGAGCTGTTTCCTGTGTTTGTAAACCAGTTTGGAGTGGAACTGGAAGAAATACTGGAGACTAAGATGCTGAGAGCCCAGCTACTGCTTTATTGCTCTCCAAGCCTGGTATTTTAATGTGTATGTGCTTGTATGGCAGTGCTGGAATTGTCATAGCAGCACCTTGGCTTGAGATTTTTAAATGTTGGGCTTTTCTCTTAGCACGTTATTCTAATTTGCTTACTGGAAAATTTTTTTCAGTGTACTCAGTCCACAAACCAAGCTTCCCTTGTGTGTCGGGGAATTGGAATGAATAGCAAAATCCACCCTTTCACTAGTCTGATAAAACAGGTGCTTACAGCTTTTTATTAATGTTAAGCATTTGTCATGTCTCTGCTTTTTCAGTAGAAGAGTATTAAAGGTATCCTCACAGTTAATCAAGAGTTAAATATGTAGCAAACAAATTCCTTCTAAAAAAGGAATTCTGCATCCATCTCCCCATTTTAGCTGTCAGCTTCTGCCACGAAGTAACTGCGTTCCATTATTAGAACAGAAGTGCAATGCTCGTGTTCAAACCTCTCATGCTCCTGTTGAAACAGAGGAGACTGTTGTATGTTCTATCAGCAATTCACATACCAGGACTATTTGGTTTTACGTGAAGCAAATGGGATACTGCATTCCAGACTCCTGTCTGGCAAGATCCCTGGTTTGCTTTTCTCAGTCCCCCTTTCCTGCACTCTAAGCTCTTGGGCTGCTGAAAACTGCCATGCTCAGCTGCTTGGCTGGGCTTTCCAAGGAAAAGATGCTATGCAGAGCTAACTTTGAGTTTGATCTCTTGAATTCCTATGAGTTTTGTGAAAACTTGTGTCTTGATGTTAATTAGCTTCAGTTGAGGGAAAATAAAGTCTCTAGTTGTTTGGCTGTGTAGCTGAAAAGCAATGGCTCACTCATTGCTTAGGAGATGCTTCCTGGCCTGCCAATTGGCACATACATACCCTATGCTGTGGCTTGTCCAAGACTGATTCTTGTCTGGCTGTTAGATCTGTGGGATGGAGGGGAAAAGAGATGATGCAAAGTTGTGGTGGTGTGAAACTTAATGAGGCAGGGGGAGATGGAATACCTGATGCCAGTAACCTTTGGAGGGATTTCACAGTTAAGAGGAAGCCTGATGAATCTGTTTTTCTCCCCACAGAACAGCTAACAATTGGGGATTATTGTTTTGCTCTTCTTTTGTGGAAAGGCTGAAAATAAAACTTGTATTGCTACTAATATATTCAGAGATGATATCTGCATGTCATTTCTTCATCCAGAAGACTCTTAACATAATAAAAATGCTTTCTGAACAGAACTCTGATCCTATAAAAATTCCCCATTAATCCTGCAGAGTGATGTCATTCCCACACACTTGCTTTCTAGATGAGAAATGTTTGTAGAATTGGACTGCTGTCTGCCTGGATGGCTGAACATTTTTATTCTGAGAGGTTGCTTACTGATTACCCACTAGAGGGCTTAACTTCATTGGGAAACTGTAACCACTGTAAACTTTGAAGGTGTAAAAATGTCTTCTTTCTTCCGGTCCTGAGTCTGCAAGGATGGTAATCGAGCACTTGTCATTGAGCATCCACTCTGGCCAGAGAAACACGTCCTCAGAGAGATAGTAAGAGATTGATCTTCAGACTTTAGGAAGGTTCTTGAGCAGCTGGGGAGATGGTTCTCAGAAAAGAGGGAATGGCCCTCACCTCATACCGTCCAGCTCTTTCATTAGTTTCACCAATGCTAATCCTTAGGAATATCATCTGTGCACAACAAAATTGAATTCACAACAATTGAATCCTTCACTGAAAACACTGTGTTTTGTTAACAATCACAGTGGACCCCCTTTCAATCCAGGGTAAGCTTGTGCCCACGGCACAGAAGGCAGTTATTTCCTAATTCATTGTAATCCTGATGAGCATTGTGACCTGTACATAAATTTAAGTCCTCTGAAACATTATGTTGGAAAATTTGGAGAAAATTTATTTTGACTTCAATGTACAAATGTATTACCGCTTAAATGTTTAAATTTTATTTTTGAAGAAAAAATGTGTAACTTAAAAACGCAACACTGACATTTTTAAAGTGTGGACAAGTGTGTTCTGTATTGTGCTTGTTTTCTTACAAAGGCCATTATTTTCTAGTGCAGTTTTTTCAAGTTTTTCAGAAATGCCAGTCTGTTAGCATTCTAATACTTGTGTAGATAATAAGCGTTGTTGACTTGATACATTTTGATTTGATTTTTTAATCTCTTTCTTAATATAGTCCTCTGAGTTACAGTTCAGACTACTTGGTTGAATAATTCTTTTTCCTTAGCTGACATCCTTAATGCGTTGGGACTTTGCTGTTTCCTACCTTGCCTTGGGCTGCAATGTCTAAACTTTATGAAGCCTATTGCTTTAACTCTTACAAAGTTCCTTTGCAGATAATAAGGCTTGGCCTATTTTTAAATATTAGATGTTAAACAACTGTGAAATACTGCATATACCAACTTTGCTATAGAAAAATTGTTTAAAAAAATCCCAAAACCAAACAAACCTCACAAAAATGCTAGTTTGGATAGCTTTTTTTTTTTTTTCTCTGTTAAACCAAGAGTTCATTTCTATTAATATTAAATTAATTTAGTTGTGAAATTGCATATGAAGCATAGTGAGAAATACACTCTTGAGAAAGGGAGGAATCCCAGATCAGATTTCTCAAAGGATCTTGAGTTTTCAAGAGTTTCTAGACCAGATTTAGCTTGAGAGTAAGATAACAGAGAGACTGGTAATGGAATTTGAAAGGTGTAATGCTTGGTTTCATCTCGACAGCAGTCTTGAGAGTAGGTTTATGAGATGGTGAAAGTCTATTTCCTATAAGTTTTCACATAAGAGTTTAAAAGTCTGTGAGTGACTATATCAATGTTTCCATAGGGCCTATGAATTCACTTTTGCTTGTGTTTGTGGTGTGGAGTGGTTTTGGATCAGATACTGCAGGAGCAACTGAGCTGAAATGCAGTCCAGCTGCAGACAAACAGCCAATCCATGGGAACAGACATAGATACTCCCATAGAGGTAAAAACAAAGCAAAAAACTCTCTTGAAATGGAACTATGGGAATGTCAGCTTCTCAGATCCAACATCGTTCTTAAAAATAAAATAGTTCTTAAATACTCCACACAGGGCCTAATGTTACGCATCAGTTTCCAATAAGTACCCTCGTGCCATCAGTGATCCCAAACCTTCACCAGTGCTGTTGGCTGCTGCGTGGACACAGAGTCTTGTCCTTGTCTGTGCTTGGAGAGGCTGCGTTTTCATTTGCTTTCTCTTGTCCATCTGGGGAGTAGGAAAGAGAAAGGGCTAGAAGAAAGGATGGGAGAACTTTTTACCCAAGAGAGGTCATCAACTTCTAAATTTTATGTGGGTCCAACCACACCTTCTGTAGCATGCTCAGACGGTCTCACAAAGCACCTCCTAGGAAGAAAGGAGGGTAGGCAAAAGATAGACTTTGCAAAATAAAATGATCAGCAACAATTTTGAGTAGCATTATAAGTGTCATTAAAGCTGTGCTTTTCAATGATTCTGTTTCCATTATGGTAAAGCAGGTAACATATACTTTTATTTTAAAACATTATAATTTTTAATTTTGGTAGAATTATGATTTTATATTTCAATAAAAATTAGAAATTAAACCTTTTGGCCCTGTTGACTTCTTTCTCCTTTTTCCTAATTTGAAATTTTCATAACATCATTTATTAAGACCAAAATATAATTATCGTCTGAGAAGTCTTCTTTTGTGCTGTAAGTAAACTATATCCAGAAAGGCATCCAGAATATTCTTAAAAAGCCGGATGTATTATTTAATAGAAGTTCATGTCTCTCCTTTCAGAAAAGAGAAAAAAATTAATATGTTAATATGTAAAACCATGTAGCTATAATTATATAGTGGTATTATTTCAGGGTCTTGCAAAAAAATTTTGCTTTACTAAGGAGTAGAGAATAACCCTCAGCACAAACCTCAATGCACACAAAGGTGTGTGACGACAGAAGGATCTCTCAAACCACCATGACATGGCAACATTTCTGTCATTGTCTGCTGTGTTATAAAGGGCCAATTCAACTCAACAGGGGAGTAGTACTCGCAGGTCTGGTGGAAGTGTAACTAATACAGACCGTGCTGAGGAGCTACCATGCATTGCTAATGAGAGACATGCAGCCAGGAAGTTGTGTGCAACACTCGCAAGGCTCCTGAAGCTGGATGTAGCTACCAAGCTTGATGTCTCCTGCTCTTTTCGTCTTTTGCATTGCATTATTTTAAGTAATGAGTCCAATTATCTAACCTCTAAAGGATTTAAACACACTGTAGAAATACACAGTGGTAAGATGCCCGATAATCAAAGCCACTAATTTGGATAAATTCCCTTTTTCCACCTTATACTGAAATGAACATTGTAGGAAAGCTCAGTTTAATGATACCGTGGAGTATATTCTTGCTTCATTCACTGCTGTCCACTTTGCAAGGTAAGAATTTTATTCTATTTTTTTTGTAGTAATACTAATTTTTACAAATATTTTTCTAAATCTTTGAATATTACAGCCAATTCTTTTACTGTCTTTTTTTTTTTTTTTTTTTTTTTGGACCTTGCTGGAATTTGTAAATGCACCTTAAAGAAGTATATATCACCATTTTCTCTCACAGGTGCAGAAACTAAAATATAAATTCTTTTCAAGGGTCATTTTTTTAACTCTAAATTTGTTAGAAAACAGTTATTTATGAACAAAGTCTATCTTTCTTGCCTGTCTTATGAATAGCATTTAATGGTTTTCAATGAGGTAAGATTTTATATGAAGAGATTGCACCTGCAATTTGTTTAAATGTTTTTAGACTGCTAAAGTAAATAATTGCTCTTCTAGTTATAGAAATTATCTTATTTTCTATGTAATGCAACTGGATCTTATATATTTTTTCCTCGCTACAATTATAAAGATTTCTAATATAATATAAAAAGGTTTTTTGTGGTTTTGTTTGGTTTTGTTTATTTGCTGGCTTGTTTTAAGCATGGACTCATTTAAATTATTTACAATTCAGTCTTACCTGCAACAGTGAGAAAAGTATCATAACCCTGGAGGTTTGATTCTGGAAAGCTCTGAGTACCTGTTCTATTTTACCTGTTTACCTCTTCTATTTGTTTGTTCTGAGCTTCTAAAGAACTATGAACTCTTTTACCTTCTTCATGGTGGGAGATACTGGAACCACAACCATGAAAACCTGCAGGTAAAGACTGTGTGAGAGAATCAAATTCTTAGGAAGGAGTGCATATAGTGCTACATTCCTTGGATACAGAGTTTGTACAAAGGTGCCCTGGAAAACTCACAATTCTTAAACCCTAAAATTCAATAATGTTGTTTTAATCTTAATATTGCTTGGCAAGGACAGAGTGATGCTGTATAAAAAAATGTTTAACTTTGTGATTTTTTAAAATGACAGGATCTTATTGCAAGCTTCCTCTTTTGAGAAGAACTTTGAAGTAAGTTTTTATTCCTTATTTGTCAAGTCCTACAAACAGAACAAGAATGAGCAAATGCAATGCAGTGCAAGTTAGAAAGTAAAATATAGCCTTGAATTCAATGTGTAAAATGTCATCTACATGTAGATTGGATGTAGAACACACTTTCAGAATGTTTACAACTCTTTCCCAAGTATTTACATAATGGGCATGGGTCCTCTGTTTGAAAAACAGAGGTCCTTATGAAAAATGATACTTCTATGGTCTTGAGAAAGCTTAGAGGAATAATGGAACGAAAACAGCATGAGATCATGATTTCATGACTGGAAAAATACATTAAATGAGTATCCATCTACAGTTTTAACTGCATGATAAAATCCTAGCTGCTATTTGAAGCACAGAAGAGTAAGTGCTATACAGCCTTAAAATAAACATTTTGAATAGTAATTTTCACATAGAAGCTGAAATCCAAACAAAACCCAAACTAGGCAATGTTCCTGATCCCATTGAATTAAATGGGATCTATGCCATCAATTTCAATGGGAGCATCAAGTTGGACATAGCTTTGTGTGTCTTATGACTTCTAATACATCTAGTGGATACACAGGCATGTCAAATGATATGCCATCATGAAGTGTTGATAGAACTAAGTGCGTTTTATAGCTTGATGCCCTTGTTTCTAAACTCAATCACAAATTAAAGTCAGCTCCAGCTGGAGAGTCATCTCTTGCTATCAAAAGTACCATCAGAATATATTCAAACAACACTCTGGGGAACTTGCAGCCACTGACATGCAGCATGAAGTAAATATGAAGCTGGTTTACAATTTTGTATCCTGTTGTGTAAGTCTGTTTTGCCTATTTATGTCTCCGCAAAGCTCCAGGTACCTCTCTGTCCAAGCAGAGATTGGAGTGCCGCCCAATTCTGTAAAATGAGACACTGACCAAAACAAAAAAAAAAAAAAAAAAAAAAAAAGAATCACCTTTTTAAATGTTAACCCAAGAAAGACCTCTTTGATAAAGTGATGGTAATCAGAGAGAAACACTTCTCTCTGGGGACTTGCTTATTCAGGTTGCTCCAGGGACCTTTGATAATACAAGATCCTTTTTGTTTTCTTCCAGAACTGAGTCTAATGCAACTCGACAGAAAAGAGATCTTGTAACAGCCGAGGTAGGTTATACCTCCAAAAGCAGGAGGGTGGGGAAGCCCTCCTCCCTTTTCTGCTCTGGGCCTTTGCTATCCTTACAAATGACCCTTTGTGGGGAGATGAGCTGTGGTAACAGGAGGACAGTGAGGAGGAGCAGCTACTCCCCACCTGCTCACCCCACCTGAGCCGTGGCCTAATGCCTTCATTCTCCCTCAGCAAAGCACCCAGTAGGCAACCTACCCTGCCAGGCCGACTGACACACACCATGGGAAATAAAGCCAGGGCGTCTCTGTTTTTTGTGGGGATGAACAGCACCTGGAAAGCTGTTTGTGTTTGTGAGAGGCACAATGGCCGTGCCACTGGCAACGCTCCCTCCTGGACATGGTGCCCCGGTGGTTCCGGCCCAGCCCTGGTTCCCATCGCCCTGGCCCCACGCTGCTTCAGTGCTTCATCCCAGCAATGTTGTGCTGAAATTCAATCCTAAATGGAGGAATCTTGTTCCCCCACTTGTACACCCTTGGGCTATGGAGCCCAGCCAAGGGTTATAACCCCTTCGAAGGGGGTACGCGGGAAGCCAGAGGCGGTCCCACCTCAGGGTGTTCCAGGGAGCCTGTGGGCTGAACCAGGGTCATTTTCTGCAAGACCCTTTGAGATGTGTGTGCCGCTAGCGAGTCAAAGGCAGCTGGTGTGAAACACTGCACTGAGGGTAATGGAGCCTCTGAGAGAAGCAGGACTGGAGGTGTCCTCGGAGTGGCCTCAGCAGGGAAGTGCTGTTGCACCAAGGACGCTCTGCGAAATGGCGCGAAGGCCAAAAGCAGCTTTTGTGAGGTGAGCGGCTTGGAGTCGCTATCAGAAAAAGTGGAAATGGGTCTTGCTGTCCAGGGAGGGAAGGGACCCTCTGCAGCTACCAGTAGACCATGAGCACCAGGAATAATTTTGGTGCAGAGGGCCTTCCAGGTGGTGATTCAATGAAATCTATTTCAGGTTGATTTTAAACAGATTGTACTACTTGGAAGCATCCTACAACATAATTCCATTTGGAAAAGGGAACTGTAAGAGGCGTTGGCAAGACTAACCCTAAAGTGTTCCTTGCACAGTGTTGTTAACTTGAGACCCATCAGTTCAAACTCAAGATGCGGAGAATGAGTGGAGTCAAGAGGGAAGAAAGAAATTAGCTTACAAGCAAAGACTAAAAAAATTTCTTAGTTGTGCAGCTGAAGGCTGGCACTTAAGTCTGTGGGTAATGCAAAAAGGTAGCTGTTTTTTTCATAGAACATCAGATAAGATATAAATAACAAACAGAGGAAAGAAGAGCCATTTAAGCAAAAAGGACCAGATTTATAAAGAAAGGGATTTAAACTGGCCATAAATAAATGTAAGTAGGAAATATTTAAGTACTCAGCACTTCAATCCTGGTAAACTTTCCAGTCAGACTAGTGGGGGCAGAAGCCCCAGAGTACTTTCAGTCTGGAATGGGATCAGTTCTTGGAAGGGAAAATGTGATGTGACGAGCTGCAATATCAGAGTACTGGGCCAGATGCAGGGCTTCCTCATAGAGTGAGGCTCCCTGTTCCTAAACAGGAGGCAGGTCAGGCAGATCTGCTTTCTCCGCTGTTTGGGATGAACAAAATGCAATTCTGAAGGATGTGGAGGAGAACACAAAGTCCATTGCAGCTAGACTGGCCATAATGGGATGATCTGGGTGCAACATGGAGTATGAGTCAGGGGAGTGGAAGCAATAGACGGAACTCTTCAACCATGGGCATTTGAGTGAAGTGAAAAAGGGAGATTGCACTCTCTCCCCTTTCTTTTCCTTCCAAATGTAAATGCAAAACTTCCCATGTGGAACCTCGGTGATTCACTGGAACTGGAGGGCATGGATGAGAAGCCAGTGGTGATCTCACATGGCAGCTGTATCTTTCCCCAGTCTCCTCAAAAGCCACTGTGCTTCTCTTTCCCAGGCTGCCAATCCCTCCAGCAGCACCTACGACTGTGCCATGTGCTGGCTGAGATGCAAATTGCAATTCTGTATTTAAAGTTCAAAGCCAGTGTTTGAGTGCAAGGCTTTATCAATTAATTTGTAAATCACAAACACCCTGATTTTACTTTTATGTTTCTCTGACAGGTTCAATCTGCCTCTCGGTTGCACCAGCATGGGGCCCTCATGTGGAGTCCACCAGGAGGTCAGTGATGTGCCCCTCACCTGCAGGAGGACAATGAAAATGCTGCCTTCCTCCTCTGTGTTACCATGGGCTGTGGAAGCCCTCTTCTTCATAACACTATAAAACTCTGTCCTGTCTCATTTTCTCATTTTATCCATGTTAAATATTAAAAAAAAAAAAGTTAAAATTGTACTTTCAAAATAGGGCTTTACGACCAAATCTGAGCAGATAAGGAAGCCAATCTTTTGAGATTTTGGGTTTTTTTTTTAAAGTTTAGTTCTATTACAATTTTTAATTTCTGCCACTTTTTTTTTTCTGACCTTGTCAGAGGATGTAGGTATATCAGAGAGGCTTATAACTGGTCGTGCAAAGGGAAAGGAGTACTCAGGCAATGAGCATGAAGCTGCTCCTGTATGGATTTAAGCATTGGACAAACATGTAAAGCAGGCTCAAGTTACAGAAATGGTTTTACAGAAAAGTTTACTATAGGCAACTTCAGTTGGAATTTTGGTATCCTTCTTGGAAAATGCCTAGGCAGGTGCCTTCTTTTGCATTTTTCTATGTAAATGACTATATGCAATTTTACAACTCAAAATTCTAAAAACAGCAAAAGATTTCCCCATTAGTGCTGTTACTGAAACAATAGCTTTTGCTTTCTTGGTATTTTCACAGTATCCATGTATATCTGGAAAGCAGTTCTTAAATGGAAAAAATTCAAAGCTAAGCATGGAAAGGAATTTTCACAATGATGGATGATATTCCTCACCACTGCTAGCTTCTGTGTGCCTTTACTGTAAAGGTCCCATTTTTTCTCCCATTTAATGTCACTAGCTGCTTTGCTGTGCCTCATTGGGAGTGGAAGGACCTGTTTATTTCATTTACTTCCTGCCTTTTGTGGTGCTTTTTAAATCTCCATCAGCAACATTGGAAGCATTTGTATGTATGTAGAGTTTTAATCCTACTCCAAGAAGGCAAGCAACTATCTGCAAAAACTGATTAAGTTTTGCTTTTTTTTCTAGTTTTCTTCTCCACTTTTGGGGAATGATAATTTAGACCTACCTCAATGAATGATTAGTAAATGACAAAGAGGTCATAGCTTTCAAACAGACTATAAAACCATTTAATGCAACTGCTTCTGGAAAAAATGACTAATTATAACATAAAACAAGCCATTCCCATGGAATATAAAGTCTCTGACTCCAGTCACCTCTGAAGCAGAAATAACCTTCTAGCTGACTTTTTTTTAGAATGTGGGGAAGATTGTTTAGGACTGGTTTTGACTCTAAAATATATATTCTGGCCTGTTCATAAATTGAATGTACCCTTTGCCATAATGTTTAGGAGGGAGAAGCTGAATATATGTATAATTATGATGATTTTAGTGAATTAGAATGATCTGTGTCCTGTACATTTTGAGATCAGCAGGACTGGGATTTGATTTCTTTACATGGGAACTTGACCTTTTGTTTGCTTGGAGGAGGCTGACCTTTTGCTCCTTTGTTGGTTTATAAGTCTCAAACCAAATGAGAACCTTGCTTCTCTTTTAACTAAGGAACACGAAGAATTAAATTAAGCATATGTTAACAAATGGAGATAGTTGTTGGTTAATTTTCTCAGCTAATATAGCAGCTTGTGATTTAACAGTAAAAAGATTTAACAGGGATCTCCCAGCCTCTTTGCAAAATACTGTATCTACTAAAAATTTGGAATGCTTGCTTGCAGGTTCATGTCCTCAGGAGTGCCTTAATGGAGCAGCCTGCACAGAGGCAGGTGACTGTGACTGTCAGTTATTTCAGGCTCAAGGAAGCAGGTGCCAAATTGGTAAGTTTTTGGGCCAAAATAGTTTAGTGTCAGCTTTCAGGGAGATTTAGGATACAGATTTTGAAAAAAATATTATTACCAGCATATTTGTGATTATTTTGTAGCAGGACTCTAATTTGTCCAGTAGCTAGGAGGATTAAAACTATATGCATTAGGGACATACAGAAAGCAACATCAGAAATGCCTACATTTAGCACATGGGCTGTAATGGTATATAGATACCATGACAGATAGACCATTGTCTAGTACATCAGTAGACAGACAGCTTTTTTTTTAAAGTTATCTGAAAAACCAAAAACCACTGCATTTCTTTTAATAAGCAGTGGTTTATTGCAAATTAAATTACCTACTATTTAAATACACTAGTTTCTGGAATCTGCTGTGTGTAGGAGTCAACAAGAATTGTCTTCCAGGATGTGCAGAATATCTAAATCCCTTGCCTCTACTTGTAATTGAAATGTCTCCACTGAAGCAAATAAAAACTTAATGATGATTGCACATGGCTAAAACTGGAGGCTTAAGACTAAAAAGAGTGCTGACTTTATTTAAAGTTGAAGGCGTAAATTTATCTTTTGTACTTGCTAATTTTTGATGACCATGCTTCTTGTAAACTCAGTGTGTTCTCTTCAGTACCTAACACTGGCAAGGACCGAGATGGGATTTGCAAATCCTGGGGACAGTATAGTTTTGAAACATTTGATGGCATCTACTACTACTTCCCAGGGAATTGCTCCTATATATTTGCAAAAGACTGCAGTACTCTGGAACCTCAGTACACTGTTTGGGTAAGTATGTAAACATACACTAGAAGTAAGTATGTAAGTAAACATAAAAGTAAATAAGTAAAATAAGTAGAGGGACAATAAATGTATCAAACTGGGCATTAATTGCTTAAATATAAAACTGTGTAAATGTGGAAAACTTCTGGAAAAGCCTAAACTTATGCGCAGTAACTCAAAATACTAATGAAATTATAATCAAAAGAGTCAGTATATTAAAAATAGTATTTCTTTCTCCTCCAATCCTTAATGGGATATCTGCTCTCTCCCTTCTGGGAACAAAAGTGGGTCTTAAACAAGACCCCAGAAACTTTATTAAACTTCAGCCATCAGGCTTTTAAAAATACTGAGTTGCTGAGTAAGTGCAAACAGCTATCACTTGCCTAATAGCGAGGAACACGAATGTGCTAAGCCCTAATTCACGCTATTGGCATGCTATGAGGATCTGTTTCCCTGGCCTATGCGATTTGCTCCCCATCTTGTCCCCTCTAGGAATTTGCATTTTAATTTTGGATTACCTCTACATCATGCAGAGAAGATTAACTGCTCAAAAGCTTTCATCTTCACCTGTGTACGGAAGGCACTCTTTTTAATAATTTCTAAAATTGCTGAGTATCCATGGTTAATAACTGTGGGTCAGGGAAAGTTCAAACCTATACTCTCTTTGAAAAGAGATGCCCTGTTTGTCAGGCTGGTGGTTACTGTGGGGAGAGGATACAAGATCATTCTATCACCTTACTCACAATGGTTGGGATTCGGTGCTGACTGGGCAGGGAAGAAGCGACAAGAGGGGTCCTCATTTTGAGCACATGTGTGTACAGTCGTCATAGGCATGAGGGCAGATCTAGATACTGATTTCTGCTCTGAGGACTGTTTTTCATCTATAAACAGATGACCTCTTCTTCCCTCAGATAACAGCACTTAGTGAGGATAAATCTACCATTAATACTGACATTTCTACCTACTCAAGTTACAGACAGACACTGTTATACCTTTCACAATTTCATTTTAATTATTTGGATTCTCTATGCAGCTGTGACCTCTTAAAGGTTTTCAGAAAGTGCTGCAGCAAAGTCCAAGATTATATTAAAATCTGGAATCAATATGTCACTGGATTCCAGTGGCTCTGGAAAGAGAGAAGGTTCTATTCAATCGTTGGAACAAATGTAATGTTTTACTAGAAACTGAAAATGTTTACTCAGCAAAGTCATAAGTAATGTGAGACTGTAGACGGACTGGGCAATGGAGAGACAAAAACCTTGCCAAATCCTAACCTTATGGTCCTTCTGGCTTTAATAATCCACCCCTCAAGAGGAGAAGAAAACATAAGAATTATTTTGATATTCCTCTATTGTGTTTCTGTCTTGGGATGGGCTTATGTAGAAGCCATTTACCAGGACTGATAACTTTTATGTTGTCTTTAATTATGATTATCTTTATACATGTAAAAGCTCCTAATGCTTTTCCTGACCTAGTTTATTTCACCCAAAGAAACAGTAACTGGTTTTTACTTCCAGATTTAGTGTCAGCCAAGGAAGATTAGTTTAAGTATTCATGCACGCTGTATGTGTTTATTCACAGATATTTTCTTCAAAACAGTTACGTTTACAGCCTCCATCACTATGTTGGTAAAATGTTCCCAATTACAAGTTTATTTAGCTTAACAGCACTGTCAAGTAAACCGGTAATGAAATTCCCAGAGTGATGACACACTGAGTAACATAAGTCATATTTGAGTTACCTAAACTCTGTCTATATTTTAATCTGGGTAATGATAGGCCTCTAAGATTCAAAACACATTCCCCTCTCCCTTCAGTGGTGTCTAAAATAAGCTCAAGGCCTTTTGAAGCACAATTGGACATCCTACAGGTTTGGGTGGCTCATTCCCCCTGAAATTAATGAAAACAGTGTAAATTTTGCTCAAGCACAAACCCACAGTTTTCAAGTCCTGAGAGTACTGTATTTGAGCAACATAAGTTGATATGTGACTAAGCCAATCCCCTGGCTCATATGTATAATGGAGAGAAGCACACTTCAGAAGAGTCTACCTTTCTCCGTTAGCAGGGCTGGAAAGCCAGTGCAAAATGGATTTTAACAGATCCATGTAACTTAGATGCCTTCTGTAATCTGTGGGAGCACTTCAAAATCTCAAGAAATCCTGAGTAGTTCAGGAGTGTATGCTGTAGTTCAGCTTGCACCAGTCTCAGCTGGAAGGAGAGTGCTGCTATTACACTGAGGTTCTGTATGGTTTGTAATCCTGTTTTATAGATCAGATCTCTAAAAAAGGATAAGTAGGGGTGTTTCTTCAGTGCAGGTAACAAGCTCCACCTTTGGCCTCTATAAGCTAGCTCACTACAGTGTCTCTGAAGTTTGTCAGTGTAAAATACCTGACTCCTTTATCCAGTTTTTAGACCACTGGCTTGTGATGCTATGCACTATTAAACAGTTGCTCTATTTCTCAGTAGTATTGTGTAGTGTGAACTTTGAGTTTTGCATATCTTTGTAATTGTGACTTTGCAATATTCTAGGTATTTATTTTTAAAGCTCTTTCAGTAACTAGAGCATAAAAATGTAAAATATCATATATGAATTTAATAAAAATGGTGCAAAATTATAGAGGACAAGCATTTACTCTTACTGTGTGTCTATTTTTTCCCTCAAAGGTTCATAACAGTCCTCACTGTTATGGTTCAGTATATACTTGTCATAGGTCTATCAGCTTATTTTTTTCAAACCAAGAAGAAATAATGATTTCCGGACATGAAGTAAGAAAAAATGGAATCAGGTAAGTGTTCTGATGATGAGCTTTAATATTTTATTGCAAGAAGATAATGTGGAGTTTGGGAAACTGATGATTCTTACAGAATCCAGATAAAATAATTTGATCTGTACCTTTAATGATCCCTTGCTGTTCTCTCTTGGGGCTGATAGTGCTGTAGTGTGAGCAGCTCTGACAGTACTGATGTAATACACAAGTGAGGATAGAATACACTTCCTGCATTTACTGTGTTCAGCTTCTCAGCTGTAACCTAACAATTATTCATTCCTTCTTTTTACAGACCAAGTCTGTGTCAGGCAGTCCCAGCTAATCCCTGGTGCATTCTGATAGCATTTTGAACAAGGCAATCATTATTTATTCTTTGTAGCTATAGCTAATATAAGGCATGATCTTCTTCTAGATGAGTCTGAATTGGTTAAAACAAAGATCTTAAGCCCCTTTGAGGCAAAAACTCCACAAAATATCTCTGAGGTACCTAAAACCTCCTTACCTTTCTTTTTGTAAGTAAAAAGATGCCCCTAAGGCTATAATAAGTATATTTTACTGGTTGATAATGTAAAGAAATTTTAAGAAAGTTGTTGAGGTGCTTTTGCCATCCCCTCTGTAATGCCGTTAGTATCTGAGAGTGGTAGCTACAGTGATACTGTTCAACCCAACAGAAGCAACTTTGGATGACTATGATTAGATCTGTGCTGATTATTGTCCAGTCATCTTTCACCAAAGGAGGAAGAGGTACAACTTTTTTGTCAGTGGTGTTTTCTGTACTGCAAGTTTCTCCTTTTGCAGATGTCTAACCCAGGGATGAGCCAGTGCCCAGAAGGGCTGCTGGTGCTTCCTTGCCCATGCAGCATGCTTGTGAGCAGAAGTATTCCTCAATGCAGTGTGCCAGGCTTTGAAAGCAAGATGCATTATTCTTTCAAGCCTATTATTGGTACAACTGATAGGTGTATGCAGCAGAAAGCACTCATTCTTGATGCTTGATATAGAGAAGTAAACATAAGTTAGTAAAAACATGATGAAGAATTGAATGGTGTGACTGTGTATGCCCAGGGAAAAGTGTTTGTTGAGTTAGTAGGTGATGTTTTATGTGGTATTTTTCTAGCATGAACCTCATCTCATATGAGATCTTTGATATAGACTATATTTTTCCAGATTAACATTGCCTCAGACAGTTGGAAATGCTTTCATTGAGAGACTGGCTGATTATATTCTGGTGAAGACTACCTTTGGTTTTTCTCTCGCTTGGGATGGAAACTCTGGTATTTATATTAAGCTGACAGAAGATCATAAGGGAAAACCTTGTGGCCTTTGTGGAAATTTTAACGGCAATAAATACGATGACCTGATACTTCAAAACAGTAAGTAAATAGCTTACCCTTACTTTGTGTGAACAGTTTCCATGTTCACTTTAAATAAAATGCTGTATAGATATAATGCTGTGAAAAGGCAGTCCTGTTTCAGTCCTGTATTTCAGTACAATAGTATATCTGCTCATATATCTCCTCATCATTAAAGGAAATGATGAGGAGTATTTCTCCTCATCATTAAAGATGGAAAGAGAAAAGGTCCTAGTTTAAGAAAGTATTTATATGTGCATTTAAACCTTTTGCTCAGCAAAGCACTTGGATATGTTTATCCTAGCTGATGAAAATGCCTTCAAACAATAAATACATAAACAAATGTTCATGGTTTTCTCTGTGTTTAAAGATGGAGGGAAGAGCACCATCTCGAGTCATTCTTTTTTATCAGCATCATAAAAATCCTAGATAAAATAAGTGAATTTCCAAGGTGTTTCCTGGGAGTTCCTTGTATCCCCTTGCTGGTATGGTGGACTAAGGGCCTCTGACTACCCTCTAGGATGAGGAGCTGCTTTGTGCTGTGTCTGAGGCAGAGATGAGTTTTTAAACTTGTATTCTGTAGCCTAGGTAGGGAATACTGCATGGGGACTTTTGTACTGCTTGCAACTAATGTGGAAAAAAAAAAAAAGAACAAGAATAAGCTTGAAAATATGAGGATTTTTCTCACTCTCTCATACAAACAAAATAAGATTGTCTTACTGTTACCATTAACTGCTGAGAGAATCTAGTCCCATGGCTCTGCATGTCCTGAAGTCACAAAAGGTATCCCACAATAACTTTTTTCCCTTTTTTAAATGGTTGGTAATGGAGCTTTTAAACTTCCTTAGGGAAGGAATACTCACTTTATGTATCTTTGCAGAGCCTTTAAAAATCTACCTGAGTATACATTTTTCATAGCTTTTCTGCCATGAGAGCAGTAAGTTTTGTGCAGTAACTTCTGCTCACCAGAGTACAGTATGTTTAATAACCAATTTAGTCTGCTGATGTGTAATAATAAAGAAAAATAATATTTGGAGGAAATAATGAATTCATGTGATGTCTAAAATTCAATAATTTCAGTATCTTTAGTTTTATTACCTGTTATAAAATATTTCCAGCTCATACCTGTCTTCATTTTCAGAGCTAATTTTTTTCACCATGATCCTTTCATCTAGCATATTTCTTTGTCAGAAATGATAACATTATTGCAGTGTACAACTGAGAGCCAAATGAATTACTTTAATCTTGAACCAGTTGTATAACATGGTGCCTTAACTCTGCAAATACAAAGCATGAAATTCTGAGATCTTCACAAGAACAGACTGCTAATTCAGATCCGTTCCAAGCTGCAACATTTTTCTAAGAATTCCTAAATCTTTTCAATCATTTGATATAATGATTTCTCTCTTCCAGCTAAACTACTTCCCTGAGTAGTGTAAAGGTAGCTCTTACATCTATCCTGAGTCTTCCAGAGTCCAAATGCTCATTATTTGTAATGTTTAAATAAATATGCTGCATATAATATCCCATTTCAAAGTACAGTTCAAAAACAAACTCATTTTCTGTTTCCTTATCTTCACCTTTAATGCCATCTTTGTGTTGCTTTAATATGAAAGACTGTATCTGTGTATAGAACTGTTTCAAGGACAATGATTTTATTTTGAGGTTTTTTTTTAAGACTTAGAAATTTTTTCAAGCCATGTCAAAATGTACATAAAGTATTTTTAATGTTCTTGTTGAATCAGAGTTATAACAACAGGTTGATCTCTAGATTAAACCCAGCCTTTTGTGTTTGGGAAAGGTTTTGTGAATAAAGAACTACTCTGTCAGAGAGGTAGAAATATGTTAAGTCTCCCTAACTCTTAAGCAAAACAGAATGATGGTTAGGATATTATAATCATTTATTTGTGGAGATCCAAGTATATGTATCTCATTGGTGTGTTTGTGGCTTTCCGCATTGCAGTGTTCAACTTTGTACCTCTTGTGCTAGAAGTTAGATTAAGTTTTGTGTAGTACAGATCTGTGAAAAAAAACCCCTCTAGCCCATTTCATTTCAATAGCCTGTCTCCTAGCCATGCGTGTTCAACTTTGTACCTCTTGTGCTAGAAGTTAGATTAAGTTTTGTATAGTACAGATCTGTGAAAGAAAAACCCCTCTAGCCGATTTCATTTCAATATCCTGTCTCCTAGCCATGAGTGGATATAGATTACCATAGCATAGAAAATTACTGTCTGGTTCCTCAAAGTGGAGGCAATATACCTTTTTAAACCTACCAAAGAATGTAGAGAAAATGCAATATTTAGTTCTTGATGCAAGTATATGGGAATTTTGTGTCTGTTTTCTTACTGCCAACCTTCTTGTATGTTCGTGTATCTAAGCCTGTTGCCATGGCTTCCAGTCATGCATCTTGTTCATTCATTCTTCCGTGCTCACGCTGTGAGGAGAGCTGGGCATCTTGTGCCTATGTGTTGTAGGGCTTTTCTGCAATAAGGGAAAAGGAGGGAGATAATTGCCCTAACTGACCTTTCTGAAACATGATGAAAAGACTTAAGTTGCTTCAAAGAAATGCATTTTTTCTTAAGTATTCAATGCCTTGCATTTGTCATTATTTGTGTATTTGTTACGAAATTATCAGTGATTGTGCTTAAAATAACCGAAGCCAACATCTTGTCATGTATTTTTTCAATATTTTTATTTAATTGTAGTATAAAATACAACCTGAAATTAAAAAAAAAGAAAAATATTACTTTTCTTTATGACTTCTACTCTGAAATCATCTGTAATTGAGGTAATGAACACATTGAAAAATGACTAAAATTTTCAAAGCTGTCTTATGTGTTTATGTTGACAATTTTTTATTGTTGCTCTCCCAATGTTTTTATGCAGTAGGTGAATATACAGAGGACATTGCTGAATTTGCAAATAGCTGGGCTGTGCAAGCCTCAGATGATACAGTTTGTGTCCCTACTGCCTCAGATTTTTCCAGTCCTTGCTCAGCCAATGCAGAATCCACTGAGGTAAATTAATTATATTTTATGTATATACATAGATACATGCATATGTATACATGTATTTTCTTAATCTTCACTGCCTACTGATGGCACAAGAATCTAACAATGCGCACGATGTTGAAAAAGCCTTAAATGCATTGAGACTTTGGGAAAGATTCAGATCGGGGCTGTTGCTAGGGAGTGCCTGAAGTTCTTCATACGTTTAGCTTAAAAGTACAAAGGCTCAGATTGGATGTGCCAAGTGGCACCAGGCTGCTGGCAGAGCTCTTCATTACTGCATTAAACTTGGGTTCAGTTTCCAGTTCTGGCATCTTGCACCTCATTATTTTAGTGATTGTGAAATACTGCAGAAATAGTTGAAGGTCAGCTACTGTATTGACACAAAATGCTTTTCTTAGTCATTTCACACTTTTTCACCCCAGGTGGTTTAGGACCAGCATGCAGTCAAGCAGACCTAGGCACAGAGGAAAAATTTTAGGAAGAATAATGAAAGAGATATAAATAGTAAATTGAGACAGCACCATGCTCAAATTTTAATGGCTCATAAAGGTTATAAAGGGTTATAATGGGTTATAAAGGACCTTAGCTTAGGGAAACAAAGCTAAAGAGAATGATGCCTGTTCAGAAAGTATTGGCTAACTTCCAGTTACTGATTCTCCTTAATGCACAGGACATATTCTTCAAGTGCCAAATATTCCTACAGTTTCCTTTTCTCAGCTGTCATGAAAGTATAGATCCGTATTCTTATATTTCAAGCTGTATGAATGATCTTTGCAGGTAAGCACTGGAATTCTTGTGTATTTAATCTTGACACATGAAATGAATGCTCAGTCTTTTGTGTGGGACCAGAATGAAAGAACACTGAGGGAAGTTGGGAAGAACCGAGTCCAAAGTGAAAGAGATGGGGTTTCTCATGGTTGATTTGTGTGGGAACAAAGGGCACAGAACCAGCCTGACAAGGGATATTTTGATTGCTAAGGGCTTACACAGATTCAAGGAAACACTACACAAGTAAGTGTAAGGTAAATTCATGGAGAATCACTCATGAGAAAAGATGAGTTGCGAATCACAAAAAACCCATGAAACTTTTATCTGGAGGCCCAGAAACAGAACTATGTGGAGATGATAGTAGGAAGAATTAACAATACTGGAGGAGCTGAGCCATTTGTCAGACACAGCTGGACTGGGTTTTATGAGTAACCACTATCATTCAAATTAGTAGAATTTTTACAAAATGGTGCCATTTACTTAAATTCAGAGCTGCCAAAAGAAATTGAACTCATTTGCTTTGATGGGAGTCACACCCCCTCAGCTGCTGACATGGTAGGCAACCTGGTACCCTAATTAATTCTAGTCATTCAAGTTAAAATTGCACTCTGGTAATTGAAGAGATAATTGGGCAATGTACCTCTTTCTTTTTGGTAAGGTTTTCAAATGAAGAAATAGGAGGATTTTTTCCAGAGTATATAATTCTCAGAGTATCACCAGTTTAATCAAAAGCACACAGAAATGATCACAAGACTAAACATAAGGATCCCTCAGTATAATCCATTACAACTTGTTAGTTCAATTTTTGATGAATGTTTAGTTTTCTGATTTTCCACAGAGTCAAGACAGAAGAATTTGTGATTGTAGGCAAACACTGGTGTTGCTCAGAAAAGAGATGAGCTGCCTCTCTATGGTCTCTGGGTAACTCAGGAATTTACTGTGGCTTTTGAAGAATAATGAAAGCCTTTTTTTTTTCAAGTAGGATACTGAATCAGTGCTGTGGTGTTAAGGAGGGTTGGATTTTTTGTGAACAATCTGATGCGTGTTGATGTGAATTTTGTGAATGTTAAAAACCTTGAAGTTTCTATGTCTCAGAAGTTCATTAATTTAGGCTTATTTTGTTTGTAAAAGAGACCTCTCTTTTTGCGGCTTAGTGTCAGTTTATGAAGGTTTTTTGTGTGGCCATAGTATAGTCCAAGTATTCTTTCTATTAAGACCCATTTAATTGGATTAGATCAGGAGTGTTAGAGAGACTCTGATGACTGTTACAAAGAGCGTAGTGGTGTTTGATTTGATAATAGATGTGTTGAAAGCAGAACACAAACACAATACAGCATATTCTTAAGACGATTAATTTTGGAAGCATGATCCTGTGTGCTAAGGGGCAGACTCAGTTGATCTGTCATAAGCATGCTTATAATAGAAATGTCATGTTATGACTAGTTTATTTTGGCATCAAATCTTCCACAGCAAATGTGAGTTGTTCGACTCTCACAGTAACAAAAGTTTGGTGGTATTTCACTGTATGTGACTTACATCTGAATAAAATTTGAACTTGCCTAAATATTAATGAATGTCTTTTTACTTGATTCTGGTAAAAATGTGCTGTACAGCTTCTTCTGTATAGACTAAGGCAGAAATCTTGTCTTTGCCCAAGACTGTGCTGCCCTGAGCCTGTCCACAGTATTCAGTAGATAATATTTCTGGCTCTGAGAACTTCAGCACAAGGTCAGGAGTCCACTAATAGGGTTCTTCTCATTTAAGTTCAAGGCAATTGGAGACTCAAAGTTCTCACTTGAACCAGAATGTCTTTTATAAGTGTAGGTCAGAGTTTCTACATCATGCGGGAGGGAGAAGCCTGAGATGGGGATCTTGAGACTGTTGAGTTGTTCATTGTCTTCAAGAAAAGGTCCTGTTTCTCTTTCACTTCAAGCAGCTCTTTTAAAAAATAATAGATTTGTGGTTTTATTAATTGTTGTAATATTAAAATGAAATACCTTTTAGTGAGATCAAATTATAAAACTGCAGTGGCGTATTCAGTATAGCTCACTCCTTTTTATATTTTCCCTGTGTGCCTTTATGACCGAGTAGTGCCAGGTGTGTGTGAAATATCCTGTGCCATGTCACATGGCAGAAATTTTTAGATGGGATTTTTGTTCCTTGATTATTCTCTTATTTTATCATTTCAGAGTGGATGATGATGAAACATACTGCAGGGCAGTGACAGAGTACGCTAGAGCATGTTCTCACGCTGGGTCCCCGGTGCGGGACTGGAGGGATGACTTTCCTGCCTGTAGTAAGACTCTTCAATAAAGCATCAACCTTTGAAATATCCCATGCATTCAGTTCAAATATTCCTTCTTGACAACATTTTTCCTTGTAGAACTCAAACCTGATACTCAAGCTGATCAGCCAGTTTCACTCTTGCTGGCAAACAACAAAGTCAATGACTTGCTTGAGGAATATTTTAATTCCATTTTGCTATGATTTAGATCCATACAAAATTCATGTTTCTGTGGATTTCTTGAAACATCATGTATGCTGATCATATTCTAGGACAAAGAGCAAACATCTGTGGAGATTTGCTGTTGCTCTTTGTCCCAGAAGACCTCTCAGCCTCTACTGGCCCTATAACAGAATTAACATAGTTATTCAGCTCCTTCTTGTTATCACTACCACCCATCAATTGCAGCCCATTCTCATGCACAAGGCTTAGAACTAGCTGAGATATGAAAACATTCACAGAATGTCACAGAAGCTATAACTTATTTTGGAGAGATGATATAAGGATTTGCTAAAGAAAAACTTAAATATTGACAAGATCTTCACTATAGTTCATCAGTTAAAACTCTTCATTTTACTTTATCTGATTACCTATCTATACCAGAAGAGCTGCACAATGTTTATTTGACAAAAAAAAAAAGGATTTTCTAGCATGGAAAGAGAAATTGCACTAATGTTCAGTATACCATGGGGTTTTTTTTAGCTGAGAAGTGTGAAGACACCTTTGTTCACCGTGACTGTATCAGTTGTTGTCCACCTACTTGCACATTTGAAAAGGATTGTCTTGGCAGCAATCTGCATTGTTTAGATGGCTGTTACTGTCCAGATGGTAAATATTGTCAATGTTATTTCAAAAAATATCTGTAAAGCTAGCATCCAACATCATAATGATGTCTAAATAGATTGTGGTTAAAGTTAATGCCTGAAAAATATGAATATTGTAAATTCTGCCCTAGATGTTGTTATTGTCACTGTGATCCTGCCCTTTATTGTGTGATAAACATTTATCTAGAATACAAAGGTGTCTCAGCATGCAATATCAGTTAACATCTGGAGATGTTACTAGTGCTTCCTACAATAGGATATTGCACAGATTTAGTCTACTTTATTTGAATTATTCAAAAATCTATAGAAATTTTGCTTAAACAGAATGTGCCATGCTCTGTACAAGAAACCAAAGTTTCTGAGACCCGTATGGGATAAAAATTATTGACTGGACTATGAACCATCCTAGTTCTAGACAGACTAAAGATAGTGAGATTTCAGGATATTTTCATTTTTGAGTTTGTACAGTTTTACGTGCTTAAGGCAGACATTTTTCATAGAACAATGATTCAGAGTGACAAATTACTAGGGAGCTGAGCTCTGAGCTCTCTGCACTCACTGGGCAAATGTTTTTGCTGGTCCTTGTTTAAGACTGATAACATCACCTCCTGGGAGATTAGAATGTTTGAGTCAGATGGGGGAAGAGCAGTGATCTGGGGCTGGTTAATTTGTTTTATATATCATTAATTAACTTCTTTCCCAACAGGTCTCATTATGGAAAATGGAACTTGTATCTCTTTGTCGAATTGTCCTTGTATTTATCATGGAACTGCTTTCCCTGTAGGCTCAAAAATTGAACAAGAATGTAGCAACTGGTATGTGAAAGCCTGTGTGTTTCAATCTCTCAAGGACTACTGTCCATAGTTAGTTTAACATAGTCACACTTAAATTTTAAATAATTGTTACTGTTTATGTTTTATAGTTTGAGGCCTGTGTATCGCTATAATATACAGGCTATTCTGTGTGAAATCAAGGCATATTAATTAACTCAGTACTACTTCCTTTGCTAACAATCTGAACACTATTACTCTGTTTTGTGTTTGTATTATTTTAGTATTTGTGTTGGTGGCATTTGGAACTGCACTGATCATGATTGTCCAGGTATTTGTATTTCCTTACTCTTTTCTCACTTCATAACAAAAAATGCTAAACTTTTCTGAAGACAACAGAACCATATATGATCCAAGGCTTTTGGCTGCCTGTTTAGGAAGAAAGATTAAGCAGGTGGATATTGACAGTAGCTGTGGGCCAGCTGGAATGATGCTGTTATTTGCCTGATCATACTCATCCTGCCTTTTCCCACGTGCTTGCCCTACCTCTGTGCTACATCCACCTCTTGTTTTCTATCTCTTTAGAAGGCTTAGTGTTATTTGCCACAGATGGTGTTTTTTTATTGCCTGTGCAGTACCTAGGCCAGGTGTAAGGATCTCCTCACTTTCAGGTGCAACTTTATTGTAAGTAATAAGAAAACCATCATTCTGATACTGTGGGCTGCATTTTCTCTCTTGTAATAGCAGTTCGTGTTTGAATAATCATCCTTATCTTTAAAGATAGCATGTCTCTGTAATGAGTTACACAGAGGAACATGCAGCAGGCAGGTGACGAAACTCCCTTGATCTGTACCTCAGACAAGATTATATTATGAAGCTTGTGAGAGAGATTTTTTTTTCACAGAGTAAGGAGCCCTCTTTGAGTGAGGTAATAAGGCTTAACAGTTGCTAAGCAAGGCTTGACAGTGTGGAATTCCCACTGAGAAGCACTCTCTGTGTCTTGCCTGTGTTGTGTGTTCACGTGAGGGGTTTATTACAACTACTTTGGCCTGGTCCTAGGGACAGAGTTGCTGTTAGTAGTGGGAGCAGGTTAGATGTGCTCCAACAGAGCACCTCCTCCAGCCAAAATGGATCTAGTTTGTGTGCTCTGATGCCATCCCATGGTGTGAATGAAAGTGTGGTACGTGGGGACAAGTTGGAGACTTGCTTCAGCAGTGCATTCCTGATTTGAACTGGAAAAACCCCCAAAAATATGATGACCTGCATTCCCTTCATACCTGTGGTAACAAGCAGTTCCATAATACCTAGAAAGATGGAGAAAGAGTCTTGTCCTCCTTCATACTGAGTTGTGGGGAAAATGACAATAAGATTCTAGGATAGTTCTGAACTGTAATAAAGAGAAAAGTCTTTTGTATTTTAGTCATAGGCATCTCACCTAGTTAGAACCAAAAGATGCTGCACATGCATGTGTTCTTTAGGACATGCTATCTGTTGGAAATAGATGTTTCTAGCATAATTTGTTTCTAAATGCCATTATTGTTGTATTAAAGTTGGTCTGGGTTATATACCTAGAAATCAGGAGAAAGTTTATCTTTTTTTTCCTCTCTTACATGATTTGCAGAATAATGATACATTCTTATGTGAATGAACATTCTTTATATTTTTTCTCTCAAGCTGAGTGCTCCATCACAGGCAGCTCTCATTTCACGACATTTGATGGACGCCATTTTACCTTTCTTGGGATTTGCCAGTACATTTTGGTAAAAGGCACCGGAAAAAACAAGTTCACAATCACTTTACAAAAATCACCCTGTGGACAGGTAAGCCACTTTTTTTTAAATGTTGGAACAATCAGGTCCATCCATATTTCATGCAATCTTCTATAAGTTCTACTGTAAGCTACTTGGTAACATTAAATAGAAAACATAAACTGAAAGCATCTTACAGCTTTTTTTTGGTTATTGTTTGTGTTGCTACATGTTATATTGCCCTTTGTAAAAGCTATTGAAACTTTAGAGGGATCAAGTTTAAAGAGTTACTCATTTATGCACGTTAAAGTTGTATAAACAATTTTAGTTATGGTATCAACAGATGTCAGGCTTTGGAAAAGCTGCTGTTGGCAGAAAACTGTAGTTTTAATACATCAATATTTAGGCAAGAATATTTTTTTTGCAGTTTTAGGTTTTATTTGGCATATTTAATTTGGAACAATGCCTTTTAGAAAACCATCTATGAGACTAGGCACCACACATGCTTGTTTGAAAATATTTTGGCAGACATTCAACAACAGGCTTTAGGAATCAAGGTGCTTATAAAGAGTACTTACCTGTGAGTAAGGATTTAATGATGCTGTTAGGCTCTCAGGAGAAAGGGCTTGAGGCTGTGACTCACAGCTGACCATGTGCTGAGGACCGGGATGTCTGAACACCTCAGCAAGGAACAATGCCCTACTCTGGGACTGTCTCTCATGTCCTTCTTTCAAAAGCTTGACTATGAGCTGCTGCCTCTCTGCCTTTCTTGTAAGCACCTACTTCTCCTGCTTAGGTGTTGAGACAGCTGTTTCTGTATTTCAGGTGGCCTCAAGCATGAAATTATTGGTTAGTTAGCCACTGAAAAGTAAGGTTGCCACTGGTAATAACCCTTTGTAGAACTCTAGATACCTTGAAAAGTTTCTGGTTGAAAACAGAGGGGTCCCTGGGGAGCATAAGATGCTTGGTTTCAGCTAATTCTGTGTTGGCTTTTGTCCTGTATTTAGGTTCGTAAATTCTGCCTGGATTGCACACTAAAATGGTTTGTGTGACATGGTTTATAGGTCACAATTTTTCAGTAGTCAGATATTTATAACTTAATGTAATATAATACTGGAGAATTTTTGTAATTTTATGTAATTTATGTAATTTTTGTCTGTAGTCAGAGATCATCACTACATTTTATGTGTGCCAAAGTTTCTGTCTCCTGCATTGCTGCATTTGTGCTCTGCTTGCAGCAGCTTGATGTGGATTGTGTCAGACTCTTGCTCTATCAATGGTTAACCCATCAATGAGCAGTAGCCAGGGTGGTCGTGCAAATATGGAATTTTTAACCCAGTATCAGTACCTGGGGACCTCTATCCACTTTCTATAATACTTCCATAATAGCTGAAATGCATTCTCCTAGCATATGAAGATTATGCATAAGCAATGTTATATGATGTTGTACATACAATTTTGAGTGCCTTGTTTAATACTTTGAGCGATAGTTTACAACTGATTTACCTGATGACAGTTCTGATATTTCCTTTCTATATGCTTTTTTCCCCCCCATTTGTTTGGTTCTGTTTTCTGTGGTAATATTAATGTCATTGCCTGTTTCTGATGGTGAAATTTGTTTCTCCTTAGAACTTTGACCATGCCTGCATTGAGTCTATAACACTGGTTCTTGAGGATGATGTGAGGAAACAAGTAACTCTCACAAGATATGGTCAAATCCAAACTGTCCCTAACCAAGTTTTTAACCTCAACGGTAAGAAGTGCATGAAGAAGAATATTACCAGAGTTCACATTCTGTCTCTTATAAGCTCCAAAACTTTTTAATAGTATCAGTCTATGAAAAAGGAATTTCTTTAAACATAACTTATAAAAGCATACAATCACTTGCTTCTTAGAACATTAGTAATAATTATAGAAATTTACTTTTATCGTCTGCAAACCCGTTCTTCATTATGCCCTCATTTCTTTGCATTTCTTATCTTACAGAGTACCTAGAAATTCCACTCATTTTGTTTGTGTTTAGGGGGAGAGAGGTAAGAAAAAGAAAGGAGGTGAAGAGACCTTGATGCTAAGGTCTAGCTTGTTTAAAGCTTTTTAGACTAAATAGAATGAAAAAGAATCCATGTGCTCTGTGGGATTTATATTGATTTCACTGTTGACTTATGTTGTGATTTCAGACAGGTTACTTAATGGTTTTGGAAAGGATAGTAAAATAAACTAGCCTTAAAAGCATGTTATAAAATTAAGCTCTGAAAGTAGAAATGATATTGCTAAATTTTGAAATTTACTGTGACCAGTTACTGAAATTTTAGTCTCTTTCTAAAAGAGTAAAGTGAGAATAAAATTCTTACCCAGCCTTCAGCAAAACAGATTTTAGGGAGTTCTGGTGATTGCAGTTATGTCTTTTTTTCATTGAATTTGTCTAGTCACAGCACTGCTTTGGGCATTCACATTTTCCTATGGCAATGAGCTTCATAGCTCAGTTATGCTCTATGTTGACAGTTCTGCTTCATAATTTGATTGGTAACTTCATTTTATTTTTTTTAATTAGTCCCTACTCACTTTCTTGTCTCTTTCCACAGTCTGCAACAAATATAATCTATGAAAAGTATTTTGGTGTCACATTCTTGATAATTGTGTGTATCTAGTAAGTCTGATCCCCTAAGGACATCTTTAAGGATTTTATTTTCCTCTCTTGGTTTATGCATCTGAGTCTGTGTGTGTGTGTATGTGTAGAGGCTGCTTATGAAGGTAGATCTACTTTAGGCCTTCAGCTGCAAGTAGCCCAACAATGTGTAGCAAATGCATGCTGTGACTGTGAAATTTCCATTTCCTCACATAATAGATTTGCTGGGAAGGAAAGCTGGGAGTTTGATAGGGGCTCAGTTCACATGCAGTCCAAGCAAGGAGCTATACTAATGTCATGTCAATAGTGGTACGAGAGAACCTGCAATCCAAAAATTCAATACACTTTACAGTCATCTGTTACTCTTGTAATATCAGTGCAGACTAAGAAACGAGAGGTTTCTTGTCTTGCCTTCTCATTGCCAGAGGCTTGCAGTTGCCAGCCTTTCCTCTAAAATTAAAAAAAACAAAAACAAAAACAAAACAAAACAAAGAGAGGTGCAAGCATGGTTTCTAGATAACTCACAGGTACAGAAAGGTGTGAGATTTTTTTAATGTCAACAGTAGCTGGAATTCCCAATTTGTGTTGTTACTGGAAATAAGCTCAGGTGGAGAATGGGTGAGGATATTTGACTGATGGCAAGGTTGTGCATAGTTTTTCATTTTATGCCTGAGTTTTCAAAATTTTTTTTTGCTTAATGGGTAAATCAGTACAACCTGGAAGTTGGGTTTCAGTGACTTTGTTTTTCTTCTTCTTTTGCTATGTTCAGGGGCTATTGAAATTCAGAATATATCTTCTTTCTTTGTTCAACTGAAAACTAGTTTTGGTTTGAAGATTCTGTTTGCTAAAGATGGAGAGAGGATCTATGTTCAAGTTGATGTCAGATGGAAGAGAAGAACATTAGGACTATGTGGAACTTACAATGGAAATTTAAGAGATGATTTTCTGTAAGTTTCAAGTTGTGCATTTATATTGTGTTTAATAACAAATGAAAAGTTTTGTTGAACATAATCATCTGATTATTTAATTTCATTAACATGCTCAAATTTTATTAAAATAACCAATATAAAATGTCTTAATTAAAATGGCAGTCACTTTTTTAAAGATGAAAGTCAAAAATTTAGGCATTCTAAGATGTTTTGCTAAGTAATTATAGAAAGATACCACATTATTTGCAGAAGGTACTGGATGATGATATTATTTGAAAGCACTTTTCCCTTTCTTGTTGCTCCCTTATCTTCAGAGCAAATATATGAGCACTGAGAAAAAAGAGTAGGTGATAATCTTACATCATTCTCACATGGCTGACACTTACTACTGCTTGATTTTCCTCCCCACATCAAGTTTTAATGTAAAAAAAATGTAATTCTGAAACAGGAATATTTTAATTAGAAGGGCACAGTTTCCTTACTTTTAAACCTTATTTCCACCAAAGTTCCTCAAGCTATAATGTTACAAAACCTGTCTGCACAGCAGACTTGGAATGTAGGAACATTTTCCCAGGAATAAAATATTGAGGAAAAAGTTTCACATGCTCTCTCTTCTTTTATACCTCAGAGATGGAAATTCTTTTGGCACATTGACTGTTCAATGTGACTATGCATCTAAGCCTTTTTAACAAACTCGTATCCTCACCCATGTACACCCCAAGGTCAGCAGGATGCTTGCAGTGTTAATATTTTCCTTTTCAGATCTCCAGCAGGGATGATAGAAGGGACCCCACAACTTCATGCCAATGCATGGAAGGTTTCCTCAGCTTGCTCCATGCCTATCAATATTCCTGTGGTTGATCCCTGCAATGTGAATCAGCAAAATGGTATATTTTCACACGGGAGTCTGAACTTACCTGTATCTTATTATTATGGGACAGTTTTTCTTTTCTCTGTGAAAAAGTTGCACATACATGTATTTCAGCTTCAGGTTTAGATATGCATTTTTTTGTTTTTTGGCATTGGCAAAGACCATTTTCCCATACATTTTGTATGTAAAATGAAGTAAGTACTTTATAAATAAAAGATAGTCATTCAGTGCTGGGTGTACTGGCTATGAGCACTAAATTCTGCTGTCTACTATACATGCAGATTTTTAGATACCTATGGTCCTGTAAATTCTGCCAGTTGAGAGGCAGGATTGATGCATGATTGTTAAAGAAAATACAGGAGACAGTGTTGAGATCAAAAGTCCTGTCTCTGGCTTTTCCATGCTTATTGCATTAAAAATTTCTTTATCCTCCATCTGTGTTCTCTGACAAAACTGATGCAGACAAACTGAGAGCCTTGAATTTGTTTAAATTCCTGGGCAAAGATTTAGTTTTGGCTGGTTGGCATGCCTATGGTTTGTTTTGAACTTTCACAGTCTCCTTTTTGCATTGCTGTTCCTTTCAATTAGAGAAGACAATGGGTAGACCATAGCTGCCAATTCTGACAGAATGTAGTCTAATATTTTTAATATTTCAGACATCAGATCTCACTAGGGATGTGGGATTTATCCATATTTAAAGCCTGTTGAAGCAAGGCTAGAATAACAATAAATCTCTAACAATGTGGGGAATTCTAGGAGTTTTTATACCCTCCTTGTCAGTCTTCTCAAGACATCCAGATCTCTCAGCCAGATCAGCTCAGAGCCTTCCTGCCTCACCCTCAGTTCTGTGCTAGCTCAGTGAAAGTGGAGTTTGGCATAAATGTGGGCTACTTAGAGCAGGATGGTGGACTGCATGACTTTCTGTGGATCCTTTCCAGCACAAATGTCACTGTGATCCTCTAATAATCACTGTGAAAAAGCAGTGGAGAGTGAAGTGATCCACACCATGCTACAAGCATAGGCATATTTTCCAGGTCTGAGATGATATTGATCTGATTAAACTAAAAAAAAAAACCAAAAAACCCAATACCAAATTAAAAAAAAAAAACAAAAAAACAAAAAACCCAAACCAAAATAAATAAACAAACAAACAAAAAAAACCCCAAAAAAACAAGATTGTTTGGTTACTTATTTTGTCAGGTTAATTTTCAACTGAGTTAAGTTCAGTCCTTGAATATGCTTTACTGAGAGAGTCCAAAAAATGTGAAATTCTTCTGTCAATGTGTGTACGTGGAAATGAACATGGAGGTTAAAGGAGAGGTGCATTCTTTTAGCAGCAAAAGTGGCTTAAATATAATTTACATCACAGAGTTCCTTAGCTATTCCACCACTTGTGGTGATAGTCTGCTTCATTGTCTGGAGGGCTGGAGGAGGGTTTGCTGCTGCTAGGAGGTGTGTAGCCAGTTTGGGATTTGCATGCCCTCAAGCTCTGCTTTGTAATACTTCCTGAGACCTCATGCCAGGAAGTACATGGCCATTGTTGATGTTAAAGCTAAATGAATGTCAAGTAGGAAAACCATATTCCAAGCTTTGGGGGACTCTAACTATTCTTTTGAAATACATTATTTTGGCATTTAAATTTTCTGTGCTATTAAGAGGAAGGCATAACTGTTTTAGTATGATTATTTTTATCTTAAGTGGAGTTTGCTGTTGAGGGAGTTGCTTGTAATATCAATTTTAAACTGTAGAATTTTACAGAAAGACATTGTATGCAAGTGTTTATATTGCACACCTGGCTGTGTTTGATTTTAATACTCCGTGCTATTCATTTGACTAACTGTTATATTAAAATGGACCTGGCTAAAACACTGTCACCTTCTCTTAGCTGGGTATGCATCTCACTGTGATATCATCAACCAAGACGTGTTTGCTCCCTGCCACGCCTACATCAGTCCAGGGCTGTACTACCAGCTCTGCCGCTTCGACGCGTGCAAATGCGGAAGCAGCTGCCTGTGCAATGCTTTGGCCCACTATGCTCATGTCTGTGGCAAGCACGGCGTCGTCATTGACTTCAGATCTCATGTTTCTTACTGTGGTGAGTAACATTTCCATAATGGAATATCTTTCAGAAATGTGTAAAACTCTGCAAATTTCAATCACTCCACAATACAGGGGTTGGCTTCTTTTATCTGAAAACCTAGAATTGTGCCATGGTGTAATGGTTTACTAGGGGAGAAGTAAGCATGTGAGCTGGGACCCCTGAGCTGCCTCATTGGGAGTGTCTGCCCTTTTTCTTGGTCACAGAGAGAAATGAAATTCTTTCTTTGAAGCCCTAAGTCATATGTAAGATCCTATTAGGATAAAGTAGTCAGGGAGTGGCAGGAGTGGAGCCATTCCCTAAGGGAAGGCGAGCTGGGCTGGCAGGGTCTCCCTAGATTGGGCAGGGCAGGGTGTGTGATACAGTAATGATTTAAAACAAAGCATTTCACAGAATCTTAGAGCATTGTGAGTTGGAAGGGACCCACAAGGGTTATTGAAGTCCAACTGCTGTATTTCTGTTTCTAAGCCATATAGCAATGCCTCAGCCTTAGCTAGACCATTCACCTCTTGGAAGCCTGAATTACTAGATAGATGTCCAATCTTATATATAGAAAGAACAGAAAGCTACTGTTTACAAAACAGATTATTCCAGTCAAAGAATTATTTTAACAAAAACCCACCTTAATCGAAATATTTTTAACTTTAGAAATTGGTAAAACAGCATGTTTCTCTCATGCTTTTCAGCTAAACCAGTGCAACAAGAGACCACTTTGCTTTGATTTTTTTCAACTTCCATGATACACTACTTTGTTTTCTATTTTTCACATTTTAAGAATATGTTGTTCTCCCTTCTTTCTCCCTCTCTATCCTCCAGCTGTGATGTGTCACAGTGGTATGCTTTATCATCAGTGCTCTTCTTTTTGTAAACATTCCTGTGCTTCACTTTCTATGGCAAATATCTGTGCTGATGACTGTGCAGAAGGATGTAATTGTCCTGATGGGAAGTATTTTGAAGAGTCGATCAACTTTTGTGTATCAATGTAAGTAATAAAAAAATAGAATATATGTATGGGCACATTTTCCCCTTTCCAGCAAGATTTAAAGTAGCTTTTCTGCTATTTCCCCCAAGATGTAGACTGCCTAGAGAAGTTAACAAACAATGTATGAAGATTTAATATTCTGTCTTACTAATCAATAGTGAGGCCTCATCTGTTACTGTGTGCACATACATGTGCTTCACTTTAGAGCAGATGTGTCAAACTGCTTTAGAGAAGGGTAGTAAAACTTTTTAAATTCATGGGATAGCATTTTCATGTGAAAACCTTGTTTTAGCACTTGAAAAAAAAGCAAGAAGAAATCTATAAAGCAACAATCCATAAAGTAGGGGATAGTATGGGAAGAGTGGCTAGAAGTGTCTTTTTTCTGTGTCACAATGCAAACTTTTTCAGTTAAATGGGAGAAAATGGTCAGTGAGAGGAAACAATTTATGTACATTGAATACCCAAAATTTTACAGCTTACCACCATGGGTAGTTACAGAATTATTTCTGTTCATTACAACATATATTTTGGAAAGATCAGTGAAGTTCATACTGTAGGGATAAAGACTGTTTTAAACTATTCAGGAGTGTGAACTAACTTCTTATTCACATATTTTTTCATGGTTTCTAGGTAATTTTGTTGCTACTTCTAACCTCTCTGGCTCTTATCACAGAGTTAATGGATTTTGCTATGATAATGATTTTAACAACCTCATGTTTTTATCAATACTTTGAATGGGAACTGCATGTTTTCATTCTACTCCCATAACTGAGAAGAAAAAGTCTTTTCTATTAGAATAATGCACAGAAACAGCAAAAAAAGTACAGAGACCGAGGAAAATCCTGGCTTTGTTGAAGATGATAAGAGTTTTGCCACTGACTTCAGTACAATCTGTCATCTTTAAGTTTTTGTCTTTCAAAGAATATTGTACATATAAAGATTGAATTAATGAATTAAGTTAATGTCATGATGAGACCTGTATATCATAACAGCTTGATAAATAGAGGGCCCTTGAATCCTATTTTATCTTACTTTTCTACCTAAATGCATGAATATTCTTTTAACAGATCTGGCTGTCATTGTCATTACAAAGGCAAAGCACTCCAGCCTGGAGAAATCCTTCCTACGCCAACAGGTTCCTGGTAGGTTTGAGTGCAAGAGTTTTATCTTTCTTGTATCACAGCTCAGACACATCTTTAAGTGGTTTGAGAATTTTTCTCATGTAGATTGAAAGTTTATTGTATCAAGATTTTTTTTTGCACACTGACTAAAAGAGAGCCTAGTATAAATTGGACCATGTACCTAATTATTTTAACAAAATACCTGGAAAATTCTGTAAACTATGGTGATTAAGGTTTTGTGTTATACTGCCTGCATCCTAAATCACCTGGCCCTCCACTCTCACAGGGGCTGACATGTTCAGCTTTTCTTTATTTCATTGGAAGTTAGGAAATTACAATAGTACATAAACTATGAATTTAGGCCCTCTCTTCAGATCAGGAATTAGAAACTACCAAGAAAATATTGAGTAGAACTCAAGCTTTTGGATTTTAATCCTCTTTCTCCTCCTAATTTCTGTTGTTTAAATTAGGTTGAATTGTATAATCTTTTTTAACATGGCGGCGACAAAACATTTTTCTCTTGAATAAACATGGGTTTCCTTTTCTTTTCTAGTCAATGTTTGAATGGAACAGTGAAATGTATTGAAGCCACTACAGAAAACACAGGTAATTTACAGTCTTACCCCATATAAAACTTACATAAAGAGAGAATTTGATATTGAATAGTAATTTGGTTTTCTCCTCATATGTATTTAAATGATGAGATACTTTATATCACAAAATATTTAAAATAGGAGGTTAGGAGCACAAATAGTCTTGGGTTTTTTCCCTCTTTTTCTGTAGCACAAATTCTACTACTCAGTCACTTAGGAAATTAAAAGACATCTAGGTCCATGTGTTCTCATAGGAATACCTATAATTAGGCTCACTGTCCATGATTAGGAAGCTTTAAGGTCTTGATTTCTAGAAAGTAAACTTTTAATACATTTCTAATGGACTTAGAAGTACCTTGAAAATTATTGCACTTCTAAGGGTTTTTTCTGCCTAAGGTGTAATGGCTTTGTCATTAAGAATAGACTGTGTGTGAGATCCAGTACACATACATCCAGATGCTTAATATTATTGTTTTTTACATTAGAATCCATATTAATTTTATGTGTCTGTAATATAGATTATGTCACAGACTGCTATTCCAATTGCATTCTTATATGAACTGTAATGTAACCTCCCTTTGTATCCCAATAAATTGTGAACAAAAACAAATAGAAAACCTTCAGTGTAAAAGAGCAGTTGATCTTATTTAACCTTCATTTTACATTTGAAGTTCACATATGCCCTGAAGGAAAAATCTACTATGACTGCAGATTTCCTGTGCCTGGTTTACCAGCAGCAGGTGTGAATTGTGGGATCTCTTGTGCCAACCTTGCCATGAACTTCTCCTGTGTCCCCTCACCACCCTGTGCAAGTGGCTGCATTTGCCCCCCTGGGTAAGCTTTGATGGAACAACCTGAAGCACAAGCCAAATGCAGATTTTCCACAGTTTAACTCTGCACATTTTTTTTGCTTGTTAAATTCCAGTGGTATCACACTTCTAATTTTGAAACTATTGTTCTATAAATTGTTGCAGACGCACAGTAACAGCTAAAAGGCCATCAGATATCCAGCTTACCATTCCAATTGGCTGGTATTTGGGACCATCTGGACGGGAGATGACTTCCATCACTTGCACAGTGTAGTTTATTTGAATGTAAAAATGAACATAACAGAATATTTTGATGGAAACCATTTGTGCTCCTGATTATTGCTGCCTAAGTCTTTGTCTCACCTAAATTTCTACTCTCACCTAAATTTCTACTTACACTGCTGATGCCCAGCCTGGGGCAGGGAGGGCAGGTGTATGGACTGGTTTCTGCCCTATTTCCCTTCCCTTCCTATTTCCCTGTCCTTTGTTTTCTCAGCTTGTGTTTTTGAATTTGGTGCCCAGAAACAGTCTGCTGAGCTTGGCAGGGGTCAAATCCAAGTATAAAATCTAAAAACTTCTATTTGTGTCATGATCAATCACCACTTCTTCCATTTGTTTCCATTTCCTCCCCTGACACCTCCTGTGTGCATTTTCAGATTTAGGAGTCAAATATATTGTGCAAATTGCTGTAATTACTGCTCATCTCAGGTGGAGTGCTCCATTTTTTTTCCCTCAGATTTCCATTTTGTTGCACTGTGTGTGTAGCCAGTGGTCTCCTGACAGTGTATCAGTTGTGCACAGATCAGAGTATAAATGACGCTGTCACCATTCCCCTTCCAGCACCTTGTGATGTTCATAGATGACTAAGCACTGGTGAAGGTAGAGATTTCAGGCATGCCTATTTAAGACCTCACTGGCTCTTGCCTGGTATTCTGTAATTCTCTAAAACCTCTGCCTCAACTGAGAACTTAGCTTTCTGGACCATTAGTGTTATGGGAATAAACAATTATTTAGCACAAAAAGTGCATGAATCTGCAAAAGTAGTAAACTGGTAACAAACTGAAACATCACTGTGATATTTACATGAAATTAAACTAGCAGTATTGACTTGAAAGCTCATTTGAAAATTTGAAGAAACTAAAATAAAAGTTAAAATATCAGAGCTAAAACCTTGCTTTCACAGTCATACCATTTCAAATTGACTATTACTTGATTATTTTCTGAGATATATCAGGAGTAGAGACAAGCAAAATCCTAAGTTTCTGTCAAATAATAGAGTAAAACACATGAATGATTTTTATCGCATAAGAAAATAAGCAGTTAATGTTAAAAAGTAAGTTTATAACCCTTAGGACATTTACTAATGTCCTCGTTGTTAAGTTGCACTTAATTATGACTTTCAGCCTCATGGTTCCAAAAAGTGAGTATGGCTTTTAACTAGGAAGAGGCCAGATGTATTATCTTAAAAATTAGTTTCAAAAGGTCTCTTTTTTATGCAGGAAAATGTTAAACATATCTCCTGCTATTAAATCGAAGTGGACAAGTCATTAAAAACTAGTTGTGTGACATTTACTGTAATGTAGTTTTTAAAATTCTCTTAAGTTGCCATTCTTCCCTTTGGTTCTCCTTTCCCACCTTATTTCTGCTACTGCCCATTGTTTGACTGAATGACCTAAGCTTTTGGGGTGGAATCCTGAACTCCCCTGGAGACTGGTACCTTATTCTAGCACCCTGGGTATTTATGGTGCTAGTAAATAAAGCAGTTTGTGCGTGGTATTGAAACCTTTTCCTTTGGAAAACCATGAAATTATGGACTCTAGTATGCAAAAGAATGGTCTTCCTAAAGTAAAAATGGTTTACATTTTCTATTGTTAAAGCTCTTGCACAACAGTTTGTTGTTCTTTTAGTCAGTAGTTGAACAGGTGACAAAGAATTAGAAACGCTGGAAGTCTCTGATATACTTTAGAAGTTAAATAATGTAACAGCCCAAGTTTTCCTGAGGAAATGAGCTGACAATGACAGTAAGTTCAAAGATACCCAAAGATGGACTGAAAGTCACCCTTTCTCACTGAGCTGGAGATATGGGGCTAAACTGAGTTGCAGATGCACACAGTAGTGTGGAAAGGGACTTCATGGGGCTACATTACTCTCCTGCCTTCAGGCAGCACCAGCAATACAGATGTTATTCTTGGGAGACATTTAGCTTCTACTGACAGAGACTAAGTACCTTCCCAAGCCATCTGTTCTGGTGTTTTCCTATCCTTGAGAAATTTTCTGAACACTTGACTTTTTTACTTAGAGCTGATTACTGTTTAATGAACTAGTAATGGGGTGAAGAAAATGAAACTGTGTATTCCTTTCAACTTCCAGTGAAACAATCTCTAGACTGTCCTTTGAGCCATGTGTTGCATGACTACTCCAGGAATTTCTCTCCTAAAGAACAACACCAGGACTGTCAGTAACATTTTTGTTAAGAAAGTTAAAATTGTTAAATAGGCAGAAATGAGATAGCAACCTGTGGTTGACCATATATCTGGCTCGCTTGTTGATCTAATTAGATTTGACACTTTTTGCATTAAACACCTGTTTTGTCTTAACCTTGCTAATAGTTTCAGTTTCCCTTGTGTGGGCAAGCAACCTCCACCACTGCTTTTCATAAGCTGTGCAGCAGGTGCCATAGGCCAGCTCACTGTTTTGCACTCAGAACAGGACAGGTGCTGTCTGTGCAGAGGAGCAGGCACTCCAGTCCACCTGCTTTCCTGGGACAGCAGGACAAGAGAGCAGCAGAGGGAAGGGCAGTCTGGCTGCAGCCTCAGCAGCTCACATGGCACCCAGATGCTCCGGAGTTTTCAGGGAGGAATACCTGTACTACTGACACTCCTGCATGGGAGCTGCAGCCCATACCAACATACCCCTTTCTAGATAGAGGGAGAGCTGCAGCTGTGGGCTTGGCCAGCTGTGCACAGCAGAGATCATTTGATTTGGACAGCTTCTGCTGATGAAACAATTTTCCTTAGCTGGGTGGCTCTTGGTGGGGTTTCAACAATACACTACACATTCAGTTACATTGATCTTTTGGATTTACTCTTTCATCTTAATAATTCTTTTATTTTGAAGGATGGCTGAGCATAGAGGGAAATGTTATATTCCTGACAGTTGTCCTTGCACCTGGAAAGACAGAGAATTTCTGTCAGGAGAAGTGATAGCTACTCCATGTTACACCTGGTGAGTTCATTTTGCATACTTTCAAATCATCTGGATCTAGACCCAAAGTGAAACTGATACAGAAATTGTGCTGCGTACTTTGAAAATCAAAAATATATATGTTTGTTTATAGATGGTTAGAGGACATATCTTTTATTAGGTTTACTGATAGGCTTGGATAAGTAGGAAGACTTTGGGATGAGTGCCTTTTCAGATCTGAAAAGGAAGCTGAAGATATCCAAGTTAAAAAGCAGTCAAGAACAAATGCTTAATTCCACACATATTTGTTAGTCTCTGAAATGAAGACGTGGCATTTTGCAGAATACAATATAATGAAAGACAACCAAGGAGAAAAAGAGAGATATGCCAATTTTCTAGCCAAAATATCTGTAATCAGTTAAGTGTATACTTAATAATGAAAAAAAAAATTGGCATGGCAACTTTTAATCAGTTAAAACCACACTGGCAAATCAACTGAGGATTTACACTTACACAAGCAAAAATAGAGGATGCCAGTACGACTTTCATATAAATTTGTGTAAGCCACTAAATGTAGCTGACAGGAAAAGTAATCTTGCAAAATATCAGCATTAATTTCTTAAACTCATTCCATATTTGTCTGATATCCTGAAATCTTACAGGTAGCAACTGGAGGTATTTCCCTTTGAAAATTTGCAGACCTTTACCAAAATTTAGAAAAAATAGACTACTGATGTCTTATGAATATGTTGTGGCATTGTGCCTTATCTACACTGGAGGCAGTGATGGAAATATTTGCATAAACCCTGCAAAGTTTGAGATTTTGCATTTATTTTTAGTGCATTTTTATTTTGCAGATGGCAAAATGTTCAGCACTTTCTTGCCATGGCATCACCAGTATGTTCAGAAGCAAAGCACAGTATATCTCTCTGTTTCATGGTCTGAGAATTTTATTCCATTCCTGAATGGAATGTATGATTTGAAGTAAAGAACACAAGAAATCATTTTCTTGAAAATACACAGCAGAAGACTTATGTTATGAGGAGATACTGATTGTTGTTTGTCCTTGCAGTGTTTGTCGGAGAGGCGTCTTCAACTGCACCACTTACCCCTGCCCTGCTGTGTGCACCATCTATGGAGACCGGCACTATTACACCTTCGATGGGCTGGAGTATGATTATGTCAGTGACTGCCAAACTTACCTGCTAAAGGTAAGAGGGTTGGTCACATGTTTTCTTGTGTCCTCGAGAAAACAAGTATTTTGAACATCAGTAGTTGATCTATAGAAACAAACATTAAGAAAACAGTTGTAGAACAGATGTGAAAGAAGAACCTGTACATGACATTTTGTGCTCGTCTGTTTGAAAATGGGATGTGGGTGTGTTCTTGCATATCTCTATAGTTTAGAGAAAAAGAAAAATCAATGTTTTCTGTACTACCTTAACCATGCTTTTGTCACAATGAGGAAAGAATAACACTATAGAAACTGTTAGAACTAGGTATAATCCATAGATTTATTTAAAAATGGTCTGTAAACCCTACTTGGCCTAGAGTTAATGATGAGCTCAGGCTGCTTGGAATTCTTCTTGAACATGATCTGCATCAGATCTGGATTGTATGTATATAATAATATCAAACACAAAGATTTCATAATTCAACAGTGAAATCATTCATTGAGATTGTCTGGCAGCTGCATGCTTATGTTCCTCATAGCACACATTTAGAGTACATTGCTAGCTTTTTGTTTAAAAATACCATTACTGACATTTAAAAATATAGTCTATCACTAAAACCACTATTGTTTATTATAATTGTTGCTATTTTAAGATTGTCTGTGTTCTCAGTTACAGTAATATGTTTAGAAGAATACTAATTTTCCTGACTGTCTAAGATTAAGAATAAAGCATAGTTTCTCAACAAAGACTACTACAAATAGTTTATTTCAAGTATTTTTTAATAGAGTAGTCACAACTGTGAAATAAAATACATTGGTTCCAGATTTTTTGTGTGTGTTTAAAAAGAAAAAAAAAAAGAGATTTGGAAAAGAATAATACCTCACAGCAAATTCCTGGCATGTATCATATATGATGAAAGAGCTCTTACTCTTAGAGATATATGAACCTTTGTACAAGCCTTCTTCCTTTAAGGTGCATAAAATAGGGGTTACTTTACCTGTAAAGTCATCTTGCCTGTATGATGCTGTGGAAAGGTGGGTTATAATTTCTTAATTCTTGTGCCATTCATTCAGAGAGGTTTGTAAGACAAATCTGTGCTCCTTTTTGAAACTTTAGTATGATACTGGAATGTTTGGCTTTTATAATCAAAAATCACCTGTCACTCTACTGTGTAAGAAAGAACCTGTCTGGAAACAAACAATGGAGAGCATTTGGCGTCCAAGAATATAGTTGGCAGCCAGATAATTAAGGAAAGTGGCACACTGCCAATGGGCCATTCTTCAGGTGAACATGACAAAAATGGTGAAAATGCTGCCTACACAGATCTGCTTTTCAGGCTTCTTAGACTTTTTTTTCAGTATTTCAAGCTTTTTTTCCCAAACTCAGCTAATGTGAGAAAGTATTGTCTAACTCGTTCACAATTTTTCTTTCTTTTGTAAGTGGAAATCTTTCATGACCGACATTGTATGACTCTTTAGTACATATTAGGCTGGAACAGAAGATGTATCTGTGGGCTGGTTTTGAGTGGGAAATGTTTAGAGAATTTTTAAGGGGGAAAAAAAAAGAAAAAGAAACAAAGGATGAGATTTTATGGCAGATACTCTAGAGTTTTGAGGGAACTGAAACACACAGCTGATGAACTATGTGATATGCAATCCTGGAATCAGAGGAATGGATGGCAGGATAACCAAATATTTTAAAAGGAATTAATGGCTGAATTTGACAGAAACAGAGCAATATGTCTGATCTGTATATGAAGGAACTTAATAGAAATTTTAATAAAGAGAAATTGCAATGGAAGTGTTGAACCACCCCTTTTTTAATAGAAGAAATTCATGCCTGATAAGTATTCTGAGTTATTCTGTGAAGTTAATATACGGATAAGGATAATCAAGTTAATATGTATGTATTTTGGCTCAAAGACCTTTTGGAGAAAGTTTTCAATAAATATTTTTTAGAAACTACTCTCATATAGGATGAAAATTAATATTCTTTGAGACACAAATTCACAAAATCACAGAATGGGTCAGGTTGCAAGGGACCACAGTGGGTCATCTGGTCCAACCTCTCTTCTCAGGCAGGGTCATCCTAGAGCACATGGAACAGGATTGTGTGCAGACAGTTCTTCATTATCTCCACACCTTCTCTGGGCCATCTGTTCCAGCGCTCAGTCACCTGCACTGGAAGATCTTCCTTATATTAAGCAGAACTTGGTGTGCATCTCTCTCTGCCCATTGCCTCTTGTCCTGTTCCTTGGCTGAGAAGAGCCTGGTTCCATCCCCTTGATGCCATCCCTCAGACATTTATAAACTTTGATGACATCCTTTCTTAGTCATCTCTTCTGGAGGCTGAAAAGGCCCAGATTCCTCATCCTTTCCTTGTAAGAGATATGCTCCACTCCCTTCATCATCTTTCTTTCCCTGTGCTGGTGCTGAACTAATTACAAGTCAGAGGTTAAAACACAAGAATAAGTGGCCTTTTTTTTTTTTTTTTTTTTTTTTTTTTTAAGAAGGGAGAAATCCCAGTGAAATCTCACAGGGTTTCATGCTGACACCTGCACTCAGCAGCAGAAACAATTTTGAAAATGTGAAAATGTGATGTGAGGATTGAGGTAGAGTATTCTGATGTTAAAGATTCAGTCTGAACAGCTTCAGGAACAAAAGCTTCAGGAAATCTTATGGCAGAAAACACTGCATAATAAAATAAAAGATGAAATTCAACAAGTAAATGCAAACCAATGAGCAGAAAAAAACCCCTGTAACTGCATTACCATGAAGTTAGGCACTGAATTAGCTACTATTATGCAGGAATGGAATTTTATGTGAGGAAAAGAAATGAAAGATATGTAATGGACATCTTCATAGTGGCAGCCTGAGTGATAATCACATTTGTTTTTATTTGTATATACGCAGTTACACTACACTTGTACCACATCCTGATGTGGTTAAGCTGCAATATATATGAAGACATGATAGCATAATGAGGCTGCTTTTGTTTGAAGTATTCTTTTCTATTCCTAGAGCAGGGGTTTCCATGTCTCTCTCTCTGTATAATCCTCTTCCCTGTATTGTGGCATTTTAAATAGTAGTATCCAAGTAATATGAGTCTGCGTTGAGCTACTATGTGTTGAGAAGGTATGTAAGAGAGCCCTGTCTCTTATAGTCTGTTATCCAAATAGAGTAGCCAGATGAAAGATGGAAAAGTATATATACAACTGCAAAATTTAAATTCCTTGCCATATTAGGAGGCACAGCTAGCCAAGGCAGTAGCCCCTAAACTGTGCTACCTGCTCTACAAACCTTTTTTTTTAAACACAATCACAGAATCACAGAATGATTTGGGTTGGAAGGGGAGTTTAAAGGTCTTCTAGTCCACCCCCTGCCATCAAGGTGTGTGTTGTGTGCTTCAAGTTTTCTGCCTGTAAGGTATCACAGGTCATAGATTTCACAGCTGCTAATACATTCCATTGATTTAATGCTAGTTTGCAGAGCTGTTAGGCTGATTTTTATTGATAACATGAAATTCTCACCAGACTCTTGAAAATGCAGCAGCTAAGGTGGCTGTAATATTGTATATACAAAATTGTAATAAGTTTGTCCTTTCCCTTTTATCCTTTATCCTTTAATCTTTTTCCTGTAAGCAGTGGACTGCTTTGTTTCTATTAACAGAAGTACCTTAAAGGTGTTGTAGCAGGGCAATAAGGAAAATTATAGCTACAATAAGTTTGTTGGCATATGAACTCTTCCCAGATATAGAACTGAGGGCAAGAATTACAATCTGAATCCATCATCCCCAGAGGCATGATAATGTGCTGTTCCCATCCATGTTACCAGCCCTCACTGTTTGATTTGGCTGTTCGCCTTCCTAAATCTGATCTGTTTGAACAACTCTTTAATTTGTCATCATATTCCACTGTACCATCAAAGAACTCATCCTTACCTTTATTATGTTTTAATAAGAAGCCCTTGTGCTCCTGTGGGAGAAAAATCAAGTATAAGCTTTCAGCCAATTATGAAACTTGTTTTCAACATCAGTGTCTCCTGTCAGGCCTTTTTGTTTAGGGTGACTGTAAGCGTATGAAAAAACCCTTTATAACTAGTTCAACAGAATTGTCCATTGGGCAGAAAATGACAGAAAGTATTTAGATCAATAATTAAGAATATTAGGGCAGAAAGGTCTCATGAAATGGTAAACGGACTTTTATAAAGGAATTAGGAGTTACATTATACACTGAGGTGTAAAGTCCCTGTATAGATGAATGACATTCACACAGAAGACATGAATATTTTTTTTAGCATTTTAAAATCTGTTATTTCAAAGGTTAAAAAAAAAAAAAATCTCAGCAGACAAACTCATTTATCAGTGTAGGTCATGTAAACACTTCATTTTGCTAATCTAAATATGAAAGATAAAATTAAAGTCAAATAGTTTCTTACTTGAAAATATTTAAATATCTTTTTTCTTCTATTTCCTTGCTTATTGTCTTATTTTACTGTCTTTGATAATGTTACATTCTTTCCTCCAAAAAATGGGGTTATTTTTCTGGCAAACTTTTTACTAGTTGCTGTCTGTTTCTTCCAGTTACCTGTTTTATAGACTTCTGCTGTTACAGTAAAATTGAAATCTTTCTATGACAAGTGTTAGCCTTTTTTATTTCTGTGGTGGTTTTCAGTCCTGCAGCTCAGAATTTTGTTAAGGCTTGTAGGGTCAGTGCACTTGGAGCCCTTCAGACATGTTCTCTTCTGCAAAACAGATGAAAATTTTTTCTCAGAAAAAAACATGCCCAAAAAAAAATATTAGTAGCATTTGTCAGGAAAAGTATTTTCTCTGCTTTGGGGCAGATTTCAGCAGGAGTTCAGAGGGATAAGCTACTCATCAGAATATTCTCAAATGAGAGGGTGCTCTGTTGCAATGCTCATGTGCCTTTTAAAAAACAACCAAAACCCCCACTGAAATATATCTACTAACCTTAGGTTTCCACTAACCTTAGGTTGTCAAGAAGGTCCTAAAGCACAAAAAGGTATGGGCTGTTTTGT